GACTTCTGTCATTTGTGATCCTGACACCCTCCATATACTCCGTGATTGAAGGAGGGCTCCACCCAATGAGATAATTGCACAACAGCAAGTAAAATGCTGAAAATCTTCTATCCAGTGGGCTAAGGCCGACCCCAACCTCGTTTGGGGTTGGCCACACCCCCAACCGATTGAAAAGATTCTGGCGGGAAGCTGTCTTTGCACGGGCATGCCCAGTGTTAAGGACAGGAGGAGGGGAACGAAGATCTCCTTACTTTTTCGGGTAAATACATGTAAAATACTGACCGTGGGATCACGAGTACTGCAAGGCAGGATTTGGGTCACTCAACTGCCCCACAAACTCGTTTCTATCCTATCCCGTTGCTAGTGGGACCTCGCCCCTGTAGTAGAGAGAAAAAAAATATATATTTTTTATCAACTATAATAATTATGCAATACTTAAAGTGCGATCTTTATTCATTAGATTCTATGCATTCAATGAATAAAGTACAAAAAAATGAATAGAGACTTTATGAAAATCTAAATAAACGGTTAGGTGTATTTACGTCGATTCTTTCGAGTACCGTCTTGAGGAACTAAAAATCTTTCTTTTTCTTTCACCAATTATAAGTAAGATACATAATCATGATCAATATAATCTAATAATTAACTGCATAATTTAAATTGTACAATATAATTTCAATATTACTTTTTTATCTTTTTATTAGTTTACTTAAGTCTAATCCATTAAAACACCTCTTAAGGGTTCAACCCATGGCGCTCTTCAATCCCAGATACGCAATAGCTTTACTTCATCAACATAAAGAATACATCTATTAAAAAAAAAAAAGAAAAAAAAAAAAAGAAGAAGAACAATACACATCTATTGGCTTTGGGGGACAAGACTTGATATTGCCAGGGACAAGACTTGATATTGCCAAGTCGGTCGAGCAGCTTTAGGTAAGTTGGCGGATAGTGTTCCTCCCCCCTCCCCCCCCCCCCCCCCCCCCCTTTCCTTTTAATTATTTAAATTACAGTAATAANATAATAATAGTTCCGCCATGAGCTTCGGGTCCAATTGCGGCTTTTTACCCCCTCCCAAAAAAAACAAGGGGTCTATTTTTTCGCGCTCGTACGCCTTCAATTGTTTGCGCTCGTTCGTACTCTGACTCGCAATTGGGGTACGAGCGCAATTAGACCCGACTTGAAGGGGTACGAGCGCAATTTGTTGTTGGGGCTCGCAACTCTGACACAGAAAAAAAGAAGAGAAAGAAGAAAAGACGAGCAGGTTGTTTCTCTTTACCGGCTTGGCGCGCTATGGCGGCCAGGTGACGGGCAGGGTGTGGATGAGGAACCAAGCCACGTGGCAGGATCGTCGAAGGCTTGGTTCCTCATCCACATCCTGCCACGTGGCTTGAGCGTGCAATCCCACGAGGGAGGTGGAGTGTTGGATTGATGGATGTGAACGGATCATGGACGCAAAATGCACAGGCGGATAAATGGATCATTAAAAGATATCAATCAATCAATCAATCAATCAATCAATCTGTTAATCGACCAATCCATCAATTCAATGAATTGATAAATTGACCAATGAATGATTGAATGAATGAATGAATCAATCAAAGGCAATCAGACAACGGCGAGATCGAATGGCTGCTGAGCCAAGCTTGGAACGCTGGGACGGTGGATGACTTATGCGATTTCGATCGTTGATGAGATATGAGATCCCGTTGGTTGATGAGATAGGAGATGCCAAACTCCGATGAGAAATGACATTGCAAAATTCTTGATGATCCCGACCGATGCTTGATGACAAATGACATCCCGATGCCTAATAAGATAATAATACCGTAAGAGATCCCGATCCTTGATACGAAAATGAGATCCCGATGGTTTATGAACCTGCTCTCCTCCTCCTCCTCCTCCCGTAGCTACTCTCGGCCGCGTCCGTTTCACCTTTTTTTTATTAATCAGACGCTCCAGTGAGTGATAAAGCTAATTTCAATTCCAGATAAAAGTCCGAGTAGTTATAAAATCTCGATGACTTCAGGCATGATAAAAGACGAAGGTGAGCAATGGCCAAAAATTGCTCTTCACACGCAATATAGTAGTATAGCTTCATTCGTTCATACACGCGTGTACACTGCTCAACAGCGCACGCGTTCCTCTTCTTCTTCTTCTTCTTCTTCTTCTTCTTCTTCTCTGCCAGGATCGGGGACCATGCGTATGTGTATCGTACCAATGGGGTAGTGATAAAGTGATGGAGATAACGGTGATGAAGTGATTTTTTTCCCGTCGGGACGAGAGTAAGAGGGTACCTACATGAGGACTTTGCAGGACGTACCTAGACGGAAACTAAGGCCATATTCCACCTACGAAGTCCTAATGTATGCCCCCTCCCTCCTCCCCCCTCCCCCCGGAAGGAAGGGCGCAGGGCCCATGATAATCTTCTCTGTATCTTTTCCAATGGTATCGGATGTCTCTCTCTCGCTCTCCCTCTCTCTGCCTCTCCCTCTCTCTCTCTCTCCTCTCTCTCTGTCTCTCTCTGTCTCTGTCTGTCTGTCCTCTCTCTGTGTCTGTCTGCCTCTCTCCTCTCTCTGTGTCTGTCTGCCTGTGTGTCTTATGTGTGTCTGTCTGTCTCTCCTCTCTCTGTGTCTCTCTGTCTCTGTCTGTTTGTCTCTGTCTCCGTCTGTCTCTCTCTGTCTCCGTCTCTGTCTCCGTCTGTCTCTNCTCTCTCTCTCTCTCTCTCTCTCTCTCTCTCTCTCTCTCTCTCTCTCTCTCTCTCTCTCTCTCTCTCTCTCTCTCCCTCTCTCTCTCTCTCTACCGACCGACTGACCGAAAGACTGGCTTCCCGCTTCTTCCTCACTCACATGGGATGTGTGCATTGCACCGTGCAGTTTCACATTTCTCTTCTCCTTTCTCGAGTTGTTTTTTTAACATTTAGAATCTGAAAAAATCACGCTGCTTCTCTCCATCGCGCCGTAGGCTAATGACTCAGTTAATTACTCTGTAATAATGTTTCATACTGATGGCATACGCATACTGCTGATAGGGACTTTCCTTGTTGTATCCAATCGTAATGACGGCCCTGAATATCAACTTACCTAAAGCTGCTCGACCGACTTGTGCATGTTTTCCATATCCATAGCCAATAATCCGCGGGTTCAAAACCCTTCAAGGTCTCGCCTCACGGCACACGAAACGAAAACGAAACGAGTGCGTCTGCCCACTAAAGGTGGCAAAATACACTGGTTACTATTTATAGCAAAACGATGAACCTGGCCATTTTCTGCAGGAAGATGCACGCGTTTCGTTTTTCGTTTTGTGTCCCGTGCGGCGAGGCCCTTCGTCGCCAAGGAATTTCGCTCCCTTAGGACCGTTATACTTACGGCCGCCGCCGTTCACCGGGGCTTCGGTTGCTAGCTTCAAGGATCATTCACCGTAATAGGGGTTAAAAAAATTATTTGTATATATACCTAAGGGGGTTAAAAAAAAGTAATTTGTATATACCTTAGGGGTTAAACAAAGTAAAAAAAAAAAAAAAAAAAAAAAAAAAAAAAAAAACTAGTTTCTATACCTTGGAAACCTCCTCCAAGTACATCAAAACTGATCAAGGGGTTTCTGTCTTAATTTGCTAGACCAGCAAAATAATATAAAATCGATTTGATCAATGATTTAGAGTAATTCTTTTTCTTTACAAATTTCGTATATATGAAAAGATGCTTTCATGTTGAAAAATAGTTTCTTCTTTTTCGTTTTCTTCTTCTTCTTCTTTTATTAATACTTTTCCGACAGGTGATAATCTTTTGCAGAAAATATTAATTAGACAATTCTATTAATACTTCTTCTTCTTCTTTTATTAATACTTTAATTTAATACTTTTTCCGAGAGCTGCTAATCTTGCAATTCTTTTGCAGGAAAATTACCAATCTCCTACTTCTCCTCTTCCTCCTATCATAATTCATTAAATGAATCGTGAAATTATTAATTAAACAATTTGAGCTTATTTATCCCTAAAAAAAACTGACCGGACTCTCAATTCTCTCAAGAAGCCTCAAAAGATTCTTCTGTGAGAGTTCCTCAAGCAACATAAACTTGCGAAGAGGATCCGCTGCAAGGATGAAAATGAAACACGTGGCAATCGTGAAACGACGACGTGGAAGAGGAAGAGTAGGAGGAGGAGAAAGGAGGAGGAAGAGGAAGAGGAGGAGGAGGAGGAGCAGGAGAAGAGAAGAGAAGAACAAAGAAGGCGACCATTCTTATCAGGCCATACTCACACGAGGACTTCCCTGGACGTATCTGATCGTTTTTCCGGCCATTCCTGGATGCACCTGACCTCGATTACGTCCACAGATAAGCAGAAAAAGTCCTACTGCGAGTATGCCCGCCCTCAAACAAGCGAGTAGTGTTGTGCTTCGTCGCCGTCCTCCTCCTCCTCCTCCTCTTCCACGTCCCCCTCCTCCTCTTCCTCCTCCTCTTCCTCCTCTTCCTACTCCTCTTCCTCCTCTGCCTCTCCCTCCTCCTCCTCCTCGCCCTCCTCCTCGCATGGAAGAGTTAGTGAAGGGCCGTACGGCACGCGTTATGCATTTAGCCTCCTGATGAGACCCAGATTACACGTGGCATTCGTTTGAAACATGCAAAGGACACGTGACATTCGTTTGGAATAATGAGCAGCAGATTACATGCTTGTGCGAGATTGTAAGAAGTGATTTTTTTTTATTTTTTTATTTTTTTTTTGAAGTAAGTAGTGATTTCAATTGATTGTGTGAAGAGCAATTTTGACCATTGTGATGTGATAAGAGATACAGTCGACTGACTCTTACCTTCTCTCCTTCTCCTCCTCCTCCCCATCCTCCGCCTCCTCCTCCATCTTGTTCTCTACCGTCTGTCCGCTTTTTTTTCTCCTTTGTCCCTTACTTTTTTTCCCTCCCCCAGCCCTCAGGCCCCTAATCSCTCACCTTCTTTCCCYCCCCCCCCCCCCCCCCCCCCCAAAAAAAAAAAAAAAAAAAAAAATCGCTAACCTTGCTGAGCATACCCGTCCTCATTATTTCTAGTCGATCTCGATCTTCTCCTCCAGCTGTCTGTCGCAATCAATCGGGATCTGCCATGACGCCTCCACGGCGGTAGATCCGATTGCAAAGTGGATCGATCGACACTGCGCGCCGAGAACGCCGTCGATCTCCTTCCCGCGCAAACACATAGGCGTCGCAAGCTCCCTTCCCTTGCGACACGTGTCCGCCACCACACGTCAGCCGACCACGTTTTGCCACGTGTCCGCCGCACGTCGCCAGCGAGGCCGGTGCCAGCGCGCCACGTTTTCGAAATTAAGACCTCTGCATTTTTCAACGACGAGGATGGGATCCGCCGGGGAATCGTTTCACACGAGGTCCTGCATCCCGATCCCGACGGGCTTGTTAAAAAATCCACGTGTCGGATCGACAACGGGTCGAATAGGTACCGGGAGCTGCTACAGCGCAGAGAACAGCGGGAAAAAATGGCGGGAAACAACACACCACCGGAGGCGAAGGCGGAACGCGCCGAGCCTCCGCAGGTCCCCCTGCCGCACGTAAGAAAACGACGACGCGCGCGCGCGCACGTTTCCACACCGCCCAGGCCCCGCTGCTCGAAAGCGATACACTTCGGAGAAGCGGGGGGAGGAGGAGGAGGGGGAGGAGGAGGAGGGAGAGGAGGGGGAGGAGGGGGAGGAGGGAGAGGAGAGAGTCGAGCGAGCGGAGTGCGAAGAGTGGGCAAGGAGAGGGAAGAGCGTGGGGGGGTCGTGTGGTAGGTGATAGTAGTCACAGGACCCCCCCCTACCTTCCCCCTGTCATGCTCCCCGCGCAAGCGCCCCGTTGACTTCTGATTACAGCAGACCCTACCGCTGTTCAGATGAGCTTGGAGGGTCCCAAAAGACACAGCACCCTTCGCCATAATGACCAGATTTAACCCCTTTTCCCCAGCTCCAACCCTTTCTTCCTCAGGGTCCTCGCATCGTACTAATCACAAGCCAAGCTTACATACATATGCTAATGACAATCTTGTATTGATGATTTACATGACATGATTGATGCCTCTTTGATGCGCCCTTTCAAATTAAAATTACATATGGGGGCTGGCCGCAACACCCACCAAATGTGAAAGGGACCCCCTCCCAACGGCGGCCTCACCCTATTCCCTGACCACTGCCGATTACGGCGGGGGGCAACATGCACCCCCTTAATTTGTGATTTGTGAGAGGTAGCTATGCTTGCAGGGGTTTCACGTATAGCCTTTGGAGTGGGTAGGTAGGTGAAATTGAGAGAATATATAACAGTTTGTCACAGCCCCTCGTTTGTTGTCCTCTTCTCCCTCTCTGCCTACGGTTTACCGGGCAGTTCTATTTGACGATATATATATATATATATATATATATATATATATATACTAAAAAAAAAAAGACAAAAAGGGAAAAGAGACGAACTATGACGGGTGCATCTTTCAGCTTTCTATGGGTAGATTCGGTTCCATTTTACACGTTTGGTGAGTAGTGGGGCGAGGCCCATGACATGATTCATCCGTGATTAATTAATGTCTCTTTGGGCATCGCTGCACCTCTCTAGACAAAAAATATGGCCGTGTATCTTTCCATGTTCTAGCGGAAGATTCATTCCCATTTTGCACATTCGGAGAGTAGTGCAAGGAGGCCCTTTGATGGCTCTTTATGAAAGCTGGAGATCGCACCAAGGACCTCGCTGTACCACTCTCCAAATGTGCAAAAGGGAAAAAAAAAAAAAAAAAAGTGCAAAATGAGAACGATTTTTTTTGGCTAGAACATGCACACGTACACCAAGCTACTTTTTTTTTTTTTTTTTGAAAGGGAAAATTTTCGAAATGCCCCCGAAGTTTGCGTTTATTTGTGGCATGCCCCTGTGAAGGCCGACTTACCCTGTGGAGCCCCTCGGGCCTCTGAAATTTTCTGCAGGCCCCTGTCAGCATGGGATGTAATACGCCCTTACTGAACCGCTGGTGGCGTTTCATCGGTCGGTCCTTGAAATGCCCTCACGAAGGGCATACATCTTTCTGTGATGCCCTTGCAGCAGTGCCGGCAGGATTTGAATTCAAAGTGGTAGGCATTCCACGTGCCGCCACGGAAAAACGGTCTGTATTTTTTGAAGGAGCTTGGGATCTGTGTTTTTGAAGAACATTTTTGGATGGATGCTCGCTTGCCAACTGGTGCATATTAAGTGTTGATTTAAAACATTTTTTTTCGCTATCAGAACAGCGGTTTGCTGAAAGGATTGTCGTAGCTTTCTTCCTCTTGCCCACAGTGTTTTCCCATGGAATGATAATGTGTCCATTGGGTCTTTGTCGACGAGTATCGAATGATTTTTTTTCTACACTGATATGAATGGCATTTGTCTAGGAATTGTTGTGCGCGTAATCAGCCTGCTGTGGATTTTGGTCCCTGGTCTCAGTGCTGCTCTTTTATCCAGGTGTCGTGTCTCCAACATGTGTTATGACGCAACATGCCGCAGCGCGGCTGCAGGAGTACCGTATCATTCCATGGGAAAACACTGTGGGCAAGAGGAAGACCCAATGGACACATTATCATTCCATGGGAAAACACTGTGGGCAAGAGGAAGAATGCTCCGACAATCCTTTCAGCAAACCGCTGTTCTGATAGCGAAAAAAAATGTTTTAAAGCAACACTTATAATGCACCAGTTGGCAACCGAGCATCCATCCAAAAATGTTCTTCAAAAACACAGATCCCAAGCTCCTTCAGTGGCCTATTCCCACACTCGGAAACGCGATGCCAGTGGTCGTCACTCTGCTGGACATAAAATCCCAGGGGCAGCACCCCACCTAGAAACACCCCCATCCGTTCCTCCTTCAACTATGGGTCCCACCCATCAGACTATGGAGTCGTAAAGCCAGGATCAAGGCGTTGCTGCAGGATATGCACAAAAACTGAGAAGACGCCGAAAACCATTCATCACGCCAGCCACTCTTATGTGCTGTTCCACAGGATTGCAACACTGCAATAGGTGCATCGTTACCCATAGAGTCCCCGTCCCCATAAACTACACAGATCAATAGACAACGCCCCCTGGCATTCCCACACCCATCCTTCCATGCATCATACGGTCGCCTCACCACATCGTATACTCCAATTGGCCTGGCTGCATCCTTAGCAGCAAACCTAGCCCATAAGTCCAACGTGACCTAATTAAATCGATGAAGAAGAATTCCCGTGACTCATTGTTCCAACCGCTTGGTCGTATGCAACGCCTCCCTATCGAGTGCGTCCCTCCATCTCCTCACAAGTGGCAGCATAGGTTCCCTTAAAAAAGCAAAAATTAATACCGGGAAAAAGGACCCATTCAATACGGAGAAAGAATATACAAAAAAAAGGGCCATGGGCATGCGCTGTTCAGAGGATTTCCTGTAGCCTATACAAGCCATGCGTAAGCATCACGAAACTCGAGCTTCTCCTTCCCTTAGCTGGTTCTAGCGAAAAGAAACCTTTCTCCCGACAACATCGGCGAGATCACACCACTGCTCCCTGCTTTACCCCCAGACCACACCCGAGGCTTTTCCTGTAAGCACCCCGTCCCATACCCCACAGAAGATTACCTCCCGTAACAGCAAGCGCACCATCAGTATGATGAACCAAACACGAGAGAGAGTCCGCCCCAAACGCCAGGGGGCTCCTTGTTCCTCATTACGAGCATCACCCCATTCGGAGGACGCCCGTCGGCAGTCATCCATACCAGAACAAGGTCAGCAGGGGACGGTGTGAATAGTGTCACTACAAGTAAAATGGATAGGAGAAGCTCGTGGAACAAGATCCACCCTACGAACAATACTAAGCTTAGTGCATGAGCCAGAGGCAATTCATGGGGGGTTGCCTGGCAGACGGCGGGGGAGGAGTGCCAGCACAAGGACCATAGTAACCATGCCAGCAAGCAGGCAGCAAGAACGGAAAGAAAGACAGCAGAGAGGAGGGCGGCGAGGAGGAAAATAAGCAAGGGAGGGGTCGAGACAGAGGCGAGACGAGGATATCCATCACCAGAGCCAACTCCTTGGACCAAAATGACCACCAACCCCGTTACGACTCGGAATACCTTGGCAATGCCCAGGTCCCTCATATCCAAAGATCCTACAAAGCCCCACACCTCTTCGTCAAGATTGATGACACATTCCGGTATACTCCATTATGTGAGAACGATCGCGCAGCTTGGAGGTCGAGGAACGACAAAAACACTAGGTAAGCCATAAAAGCGATGAGGAACACCACCGCCAGGTGGGCAGCAACGAGCAGCTTCATGGCGGGCAGGATGGCACAACACCAGGAAACGCAGACTCAGAATTCCAGCGGCGATGCATACAACAGGACCTGCGAGCGAAAAACTCACCCAACCCACCACCAAGAACAACACCCATGTGCATCGCCGCGAAGATAGCAGAGCAAGATTGGTCGTCAAATCCATTCAGAGGAGAGAGGAAGGAAAAAGAGGGGGGAGGGAGGGAGGGGGGTAGAGAGGAGAAAGAAGAAGTAAAGTCCCGATACAGTCTAGCGACTCAAGAATGCTGACACATGGAAAGAGGGTGATGGATCATGCCTTAAGTACTTTTCACCGGTCTCCATCCGACCATATCTTCAGAGAACAAAGCCACTCCCATAGTGTACCGAAAGGGACAGGAATCATCAAGCTCGTGACTCAGATTACAAGGATCCATAGCTGTCTCTTATACACATCTAGATGTGTATAAGAGACAGTATTGCAATAGTGCACGCAGACTCACTTTCAACACTCATGCGCATGAAGGGGGGGATTCCAAGGGGAGGGTGGTGGGTCAAAGGCAATGAAAAAGGGCCATATTACCGGTCCCGGCGCCATAGCTTGCTGAGGTGTGAGCGCACGCGGTGCGTTATCCAAATCAACTCACTCCCGAAGCCGGAGGGCAGGGAGAGCACGGCCGCAGCAGCGCCAGCAGGTGGGAACTAAGCAGACCCAGTATGCCGCTGGCAATCCGTATTGGCAAAAGTGTGGGCACGCGGTAAGTTCGTACAAGGGCGGTAGGTGTGCAAACGGCAAGTGGCCGAGCGATGGTGCATCGGCGTCAACGACGATCAATCAACGAGACACCCCCGAAGCGTGAGGTCGAGGACGCGTCAATCCGACTTTGGAACTTGCACACTGGTGGTGCCGAAGGACAGCAGCCACCAACAGTCGTTACCCAGGGGGCAAGTGCAATGGGCGTGCTACCGATGTCCGACGTCCGTACCACCGGGTGCATGAGAAGCATTCCTGCGGACGGATGAACAGGCTCGGGTAGAGCACGCCACACACCGCCGAAACGAAAGAGGGTGAGCCCGACACTGTTTCCGATATATATACTGTTCCTCGGGTCGAGGTGGTGGGGCGTGCCGGCGGGAGAACCGTTCGTATGTAGGGAGCATCTGGGAGCAATCATCCCAGAGGTTCATTCGGTCCTAAGATGCCCGTGTCCATTTCCCGGAACGGGGGCCTCATCATGGTACCCGCTAAAAAAGGGGGGGGGGATGGAAAAAAAAAAGGGGGCCCAACTTCTCGGCTCCAAACCATCCTATCGGGTGGCCCAGCAGTCGTCCATGGTTGGGTCAGGTTGTGAGTTCTCAGGTACAAGGGGGGGGGCCCACCCCTAGTTATCCCAGTGGTCCGGGTTTCCCCGGGGGGTTCTTTCTTACACATGAGCCGTTTTAATCGGCAAAGGCCCGACCAGGTAAGGGGGGGGGGGGGAATTGTTCCTACTCCTCCCTCGTGTGTGTGTGTGTGTGTGACTCACCCCTTGCCCGCTAGGAGGTAGCTTTGCTAAGACAGGTACCAGGTACCTGCCTTAGGCAAGGTACCTGCTAGCTGCCTCAGAGACCCTACTGGTGGGGGCCATACTGAGAACACAGACAACACGACACACAATTTATCAGGCATTCGCCAGGCCATCCTGCGGATACATCACAACACACGTATCATCAGGCATTCGTCCAATCCTTCATTAGTGCAAAACAAAGGTGGAGGGGGTGTAAGTGTGTGTGACAAGCTCACCTTGAACTCTCGGTCTGTCTCCGTTGGGTCGACCCTGGATGGAAGAAAGTTATGAGGAGAGTTAAGGACTTTATTCACACACATTACACATCTATGTAAGGGAAAGTCATTTTTCACCATATACGTCACGACCCTCATTATCTCCATCGCAGCCTTTCGGGGTTCTGAACAGATTACCAAAATCGAGGCGACCCTAGCTAAGATGATATTCAATGATTGCTGAATTGGCCCATTCGACGATATTTCACATATCTCACCACCGAAAAATTGAGCGACGATCGTTTGTCAAATTTTGTAATGGAAAACGATCCCAAAACTTCAGAAGACACTGTGATATCCAAGTCAAGAAACTGGGCCTTGAGGCCGTAAACTTCCCCAACCAACCATTGGGAATCCCAGATCGGGGAACATGGTAAACCCATGGGAATCCCAGAGGTCTGCCTCCAAATCCTGCCTCCGAAGGAGGTAAAACACCTCCCAACCAACCATTTTGTGACCTGAACCACATCATCATAACCCAACCACAGGATAAAAGGGGAGGCGGGATGTTTCCTCCCTTTCTCCAAATAACAATTGATTCGTCCATTCCGACTGAATTTACATTTGACTGCGGCTCCAGGTGGCCCGTCCATCAAGTTCGTAAAAGCCATTTTGACGAAGAAAGAGACAACAGCGATGAGGCCATCCTCTGAAGCATCAATCGGGATGGTCTCAAAACACCGGGTTATATCAGCAGAGAAAACGGAAAACACTTTGTCCGGGAGGTTGTAGCAATAGTCCTGTATGGAATCTATCGCCCACCAAATGGATGTATCCACACCATGGAAAGTCGGCAGACCATCGGTAATGGTTTTACAATGGGTCATGACAAAGGGGGTCAGGCATTTCAACACAGCATCACACAAGCATGCCACAGGGGTCAGGAAGGAATCGGAGGGGTTCGTGAACCATCTGAAGGCCTGTTTATGGTGCTTGTATAAGGCCATTAGGTATCTTCCTTGGTCCGATTGACACGCTGGGGAACGAGGCGGTCAGTGAGTCCGAAGCTTCTGTCAGAACCTCATCCGTAGTTAGATTGATAGGTTTAAAATCCCCATTGTTCAGTCTGTCGAGAGCAAGCCTCCTAATTAGGTGGATACACACAAATGATGGTGTGTTTGTTGATTTGTCCGTTCTAGCAATGAATACACGTTTGGTCAAAAACTCAATCTCATTCTTTACTACATGGATACTCAAGTCAAACAAGGGGCCAAAACGTTTCCTTACATCCAAACAGCGAAGCTGGGACCTAACTCTCTCCGAGACAAACATAAGAGCTCTCGACTGCATACCTCCTGTGATGAGCATTCGTCTAGCAAGGAACTTAACAATTGCCCACCATGCTTTCATGAATTCATGGAACGCAATGTGAGGGTTGTGGGGCTGGAGTGGTATGTGATTAAGCCCTTGAGAGAGGAGAGCGCTCAACCTTGGGAGGGCTGAGATTGAGGGGTCGAGGGAAAACACATGTGTGGAAGCGGTGGCGAAAGGTTGGCTCATCTCAAGAGTGCAAGGGTGATGAAACGACTTGAATCGTTTAGTAAAGCACAAGCAGGATGGAAAACCATCACATAATTGCAACCACTCATCCAAAGCAAAATCGCGGAACACTTTCGCAGGTTTATACATAGCGGCATCCAAAGAGTTCAGATAAGTCCAACCAATGACAACCAAGGAAAGCAACTCCCTAGCTCCAGTAGGAAAAAACAAATCAACAGCCTTCTCAAGGATAGGCCTAAATTGCACCATCTCCATGATCCTGCTTGTATACAACATATGTACAAAAAAATTCATGTCGCCTGACAACGCGTTGTGCCATTTATTCCTTCCCGAAGGGTTACGAGACATGAACCCCCTCCTCCTGTACAACGCAAAACACAACACGGAGCTAACAAGAGTTAGGAACGAAACAGCGCCATTTTGGAGGGCGTCTTCCCGCTCGGACTCTTCCTGGATCCTCTGCTGGTGGCCGAACCATGTGCGTCATCCTGAGTCCTGACAGTTGACAGGGGCGGAGTGCTGGTCACTATCGCGGCTCCCTGCTCCAGTGTCGGCTCAGTGTAGAACTCCAGCGTGGCCTGACGGTTCGTCTTCTTCAAGTTATTGGCTATCAAAGATGAGGAAGCTACCTTCCTCTTCTCCGTCGGCCAGATATAGCGGGTTGAAAGGACGAATTTCGCCATCGTCTTCGGGAATTTGTGGAGCATGATGGTCGGATCATCAAGAATCGTCTGGGTAGTTCTAGACGGGTCAATAGCAACATTGTATGCCATTTTCACCATTATCTCCCTCATGTGGAAAAATACCACCAACAGAAAAATTATCGCCGTTTTTTTTTTTGTGTTGATCGTGGGTCCTTACCCCCGAACAACCGTTTAAAAACTGTTTTTCAACTGTTTATCCTGGCACATGCACCATGGTCTACAGGAAGTGAAGGAAACCAACGTGCGTGACTTATGTAGTCCACATGAAGTGACAGGATAAACAGTTGAACTTTGTGTTGATAAACTGTTGAGAATCTGTTTATATTTTGTTGAACTACGTTTGGAAGGTCGAACTATGTGTTGGTAAACTGTTTGTAACAGTTGAACAGAGGACTTTATGTTGGAAATCATGATGGAAATGTGATGGTGGCGTGATGAATCGTGTTGGAAATGTGATGGAGTTATGTTTGGATTCATGGTGCTTGCCTGTCGGAGACCTCTGTATTCATATTCATGCATGCATGTGTCCCATTGGAGCAGAGGGGAGCATTCCAGTCGATAAATTCCGTGTTTCACTCATTCCAGACAACAAAGAAAAGATGAACACGCACATCTCTTAAGCTTGAGACTCCTCCCCCCCCCGGACACATACACACAATGACGGTACACTGACACTCTCATGGACATTGTTGAAGTGGACATCATGTATACATGCTAGCTGTGACCACCCTTTCGGGGCCATATACGTTCTGTCTTTCTCTCCCTCCCTTCAATTACCCCCCTCTCTCTCTCTCTCTCTTTCTCTCTCTCTCTCTCTCTCTCTCTCTCTCTCTCTCTCTCTCTCTCTCTCTCCACCCACATGCAGAAAGAAGAAGTTGCAACAAATCCAATGCGGTTCCAGATGCTTGCAATTCGTGCACTTCTAGAGGCAGCCGAAGCTTATCTTGTGCATTTGATGGAGAGCTCGAACGAGGTTGCAATCCATTCGAAGTGGGTGACGATCTTTGCAAAGGATATGAGACTTGTTGACGCGTTGCAAAAACCACGTTGGTGTGTCTTTACAAAAGGCATAACGGATGAGAAAGAAGTAGTCAGACAAAGACAGGAGAGTAGGAGGGCAACTGCTAATGTCGCAAACACAGAACAAGCAGTGCACGAATCCGCAGAACAGCAGGATTGTGGGAAGGGAAAGGGGGCGTCCAAGAGGAAAGGAAAGCCAGTGAAAAGCACCGCGACAAAAAAATAAAAATAAAAATGATTATTTTCTGATAGAACTTGTGTTGGGGTGTGTGTGTGTGTGCGTGTGTGTGTGTATGTGTGTGTGTGTGTGTGTGTACTATATATGTGTCTTTGTGTGTGTGTGTGTGTGTGTGTGTGTGTGTGTGTGTGTGTGTGTGTGTGTGATAGATAGATAGATAGATA